GGGGGGGGGGGGGGGATATCGTGTGCGTCATGCTCGGAAATCATTCAGATTGAATTATATTAGGTGCTCTCGTGATACGCACGGTGCTGCAGCGGAGCCCACGAAATGCGAACATCACTGGACCAGTGGAATACGAGGGAGTGAGAGACGGGAGTCAGGGTTGGGGGCTGGGGGTGGCGGGATGGGCCGCAATGGGGGCGGACGCCACTGGATACTGGGGTGCGGGGTACATATCAGAGAAGGCGCAAGCCATTAAAGGACGCATGCGTCTCGCTCTCTCTCAGTCCTTCTGCGGTATTCACTCGATTATTTCCTTTTTTTTCTTATCGTATCGCTGAGGTATTGTCCGCGGACACAGGGGGATAATTTATCGTTGGATTTTGAATTATTTTCGGATGACGGTGGGACAGGAAACGGGGAGATCGGGGGGAGGGTTTATCAGTGATGTTTCAGCCTTTATTGTTTATTTTTTTAATTGGGCGAGGAATTTGTCGTTAAACACTTGTTGGAGTTTTGCGTTCATCGAGGGAAGTTCAAGTTTTGAATTTTTTGTGGTATATAGATCCACACTGATGGAAGAAAAATGGAATTTCAGGGAATGTTTACTAGTTTTCAGGACAGTGACACTGAAGGCGATTTACCGGGGAAAAAATGAAATTTCAGGTTTCACTGAAAATTCAGTGAAATTACAGAATTTTAAGCAGCATAAAGACGAGAATTCCTTAGTTCATCGGAATTTTCAATCTAATATGAATAATCAGTGCCAAGTTACATTGAATTGTCAGTGAAATCTGTAATTTTATATTTTTTCACACCTACATAGCATTCAGCGTCACTGTCCTGTAAGATAGTGTCCGGAATTCCGGGGATATCTTTAAATATCATGCTTCAATTAATTGAATCATAGCTTAAAATGTTTATTTTAATGCCATTAAGTTAAAGTTAAAAGATGATTACGATAGCTATATTGGTTGATTTGATTTTTATGATGATTGTTGAAAATTTTGAATTTTTCATGAATTTCCCTGAAAGTGAGCTTTCTAATGGTTTCTTCAAATGTGATGTTTCAAATTCATTCAAATATGTGTAAATAAAATTTTTCTATTAATATTTTATCGAAGGGCTGAGGGGAAAGATAGAACTGTAAAAAAGGCAATCGGTTGTATAGAAGAAAGAGATAACAAGAATAATGATGATGATAACAGTCAACTAAGTTGAAAATCTGACAAAATTAGGTGAAAGGAAATCTTATTCAATTGAATAAAATGAAATAAACAATGAATTATACATGACAGAAGGAAATGATATGCAAAATAACCATTCGGAAGCATATTGCTAATTTATTAGCAAAAATGTCTATACTATATGCAATACAAGAGCAATTTCCCACTTGTTTTAATGATAATTGCGAATAACTTGTCATTAAACACTTGTTGGACTTTCGTCTTCGTCAGAGGATCTTCGAACCCTCCGAAATTGCGCTCTATGTTTCTCTGGGAACGTGACGATCATGGGCTCCGGGAACACAGGATCCATAACGTCTCTCACAGTGATAAAGAGGTAGCATGTTGCTACAAACGGAATTGTTAAAACGGAGAGTGGCATCTGGAACGTAAAGCAGAGGAGGAATTACGTTGAGCAGTTGCTGTTTTATTACCCGTTACTGGTACCTTTGAGAAAAAAAAGTCGAGGGTGTACTGCAGGAGAACGGTGAATGTTGCGGCGATAAAGGCCAGGAGGGTTGTTTGGGTATTCAATACAAGGAATATTCCACCGAGAGAGCAACTCGATAAGAGACTGTTGTAGCCCCACAGGCCGGAATAAACGGATTCGTGTGGCACGCCAAGTCCAAGAGCTGTAATTAGAGGAATTGTTCATCATCCTTTGAGTTTATTTTAGAAAATTCAGATGTTAAATGCGTTTTTATCTGGAGAACGAGGGATTTTAGCGAGAAATGTCATAAGAACTTCTTCGTAGAGGAGAAAATTATCTACAAAAAATGTATTTTGACATTTTCCTCTAAAACCACTCGTTACCAAGATAATTCGAGAGTTGAAGACCTGTAAAAAAATATTCAATTCGTTTCACCATTTTGATAACTGAGTTAATTATTGGAAACGTAAGTCGGGCATGTTTTCTCGACTGATTCAATTTGCCACATGTCCAGCCAACATCTCTGGAGAGTAATTCATCAATTAGAGCCGTCAGTCGCCGGCTCAGGGGACCAAAGTGACCTCTATTACTATTTAGAACATTAATCCCGAAATCCAACCACGAATGTAAAAACGAAAAACAAGACACGAAAACGTGGAATATTTCCCCAAGGGAACGACTTGATAAGAAACTTTTGTAGCCTCATAAATCAAAATAAACGAACTCGTATGACAATTGGAAAATTTCAGCGTCTGCAATTAAAGAAGTTTATCATCTTTTGAATTTTCATGAGAAGACCCAAATGAAGTTTTTTTTTAATGCGTTTTTATCTCGAGAACGAGTGATTTTAGCGAGAAATGGCATAAGAACTTCTTCGTAGAGGAGAAAATTATCTACAAAAAATGTATTTTGATATTTTCCCCTAAAACCACTCATTACCAAAATAATTCGACAGTTGAAGATCTGTAAAAAAACATTCAATTCGTTTCACCATTTTTATAACTGAGTTAATTATTGGACACGTGAGCCGGGCATGTTTTCTCGACTGATTCAATTTCCCACATGTCCAGCCAACATCTCTGGAGGGTAATTCATTAATTAAAGCCGTCAGTCGCGGGCTCAGGGGACCAAACTGACCTCTATTACCATTTAGAACATTAATCCAGGAGTCCAACCACGAGTGCAAGAACGAGACAAAAGAAACAAACAGTGCGATTAAATTTACCCCATTTTATTCTTACCTGAGAGCGATCCAATTATTGCGCCAATTAATGAGAACAGCGCAGTGGTAGGTGAATAAATCAGCATGGCAAGATAAATGACAGAGCCCGCAATCACATTATCAACAGCGAATACTTGGGAGGACGAGGTCACGACACCGCGGAACACCTTTAATACAGTATTCAATATTAATAGATCCATTTCTAGTTGGTCAGGATAGATTTTCTCACCATTCCCCAGTCGACGATGAACGTGGAATTGGAGTGGGTGGTCTTACAGATCGATCGGATGTCGGGGTTCATCATTGATTCAGTTAGCGATGTTTCATTAGTCTGAAATAAAAGTTTTACATGCACTGTCCAATGTTTAAAATTCTGCAGCGAAGCGGTAATACGGTTTAAGGATATCCGAGTACTGTCGCTATTTTCCCTTACGAAGGGAAGCATTGTAATCGCTCCCATTTATGTCTTGGATTTTTTGTGTTATATCGACTCATTCTGATCGTAAAGTTTTTCTTCAATTGTATTGTTGAGCCCTATCCGTCGCCATTAATTAAAATTTAATTCATCGATTAGTTTTTTGAACTATTGAGATTTTTCGAAAATCGGTTGTCTTACGATAACTAAAAAATGTTCTGAATTGACCGCATGATGGCTTTAAAAATTTGTTTGGATGTCCCTTGGACGGAGTTCGAAGATAAAGGCGATAGCAATAATCCTTATTTTGATTTATTTAAAAATTTTCAAAAATTTTGAATTTTTTGAAAATCAGAATTTTGGGGATATCTTTGAATATCATGCTTCAAATGAATTCAATCACAGCTTAAAATGGTTGTTTCAATGCCATTAAGTCGAAGTTAAAAGATGATTACGATAGCTGTAATGGTTGATTTGATTTTTATGATGATTGTTGAAAATTTTGAATTTTTTTGAATTTATGAATGTTTCAAATTCATTCAAGTATGTGTAAATAAAATTGTTCTATTAACATTTTATCGAAGGACTGAGGGGAGAGGTAGAACTGTAAAAAAGACGATCGGTTATACAGAAGAAAAGGGATAATAATAATAATGATGCTGATAACATGCATTCAATTGTTTTCATGAACAATTAAAAAACATGTGGCTGATAAAATGAAATTACTTCACAATCGAAATCGGATACAGCATCATTCACTTCCTCCGTGGAGTTCTCCATCCTCTGAATAGTCAGAATGATCAGAATCATGGTCTCAGTGACGTTGAAAGGGAACGTGACGACAGGCAAACGTCCCCTTCCATTGGCCCTCGTGAGGATCACACTGAAATTCACTCATAAAATCATCGAAAGGAATATGACAACCGTAACTCAATCATCATCACCTGAAGATCGTTCCTGCGAACATCATGAGAACAATCAGTCCATCCCAACGACTGCACTCCCCCGGAAATATTGCACTCGTTACGATACCGATCAGCAGTGGATTATAAACTGTCAAGCCATTTTCTATGGATGAACCAGGGTCTTGGATCAGCTATAAAAATAACAAGTGGATAATTGCAGTTCATTTATAAATGAGTACAGCTATTGTTGCTAATAAATTAGCAGTTTGTTCTCTTCTCTTCTATTTTTTCATGTCATAGTACTATCATGAATTCAAATGGCATCAAAATTTTGCTTATAATTTCGTTCTGTCAAGTGATTCTACGAGAGTCGACTTTCCCCCTGGAAAAACGGAAAATCTGATCCTTTGAAAATCTAAAAAAAAAAACATTTTCAGTTTTCACTTTTTCCACATACTTTTGAGAGTTCTGAATAGCTCGTCGCTTAAATAGTTGGAATCAACCCAGGTAGGAATTATATAGGCTGACGATGGAAAAAAGCCTGTGCGAGCCTAGGTTTGGCGAGGGTCAGTGACTCAGGCCTGGGACGGGCTTGATTTCACCGTTCACTCGAGCCTGAAATGAGGGCGATTCAAGGGGCCATTGCCGAGGTTCAATTCAGGCCTAGTCCAGGCTTTGAGTATTGAGGCTCATTACGTCAAGGCTTATTCGAGCCTCTGCAAGGCCTCAAAAATGAAAGTTAGTTTCGATTACATTCCTTGATTTTTATATCGATTAACATTTCTGATGCTAATGAAACACTCGGAGGCGCCAGAAATGTCGAAATAAAATTTTTTTTTTTCACCTGGGGCCAAAGTGTCATCTTGGATTTTTCAGGGAAAAGTCGACTTTCGCCAAAATCGAATTTTTCCGCCGGGTGAACGGTGATTCCGTATTTTCTGGCCCGCCTAATGCCACTGCGCCCCTCACTTGCCCCAGAAATGCAGAAATAAAAAAATTTTTTTTTTCCACCCCAAGCCAAAGTGCCATATTTAGGCTTTTTTCGGGGGGAAAGTCGACTTTCGCCAAAATCGAATTTTTCCGCCGGGTGAACGGTGATTCCGTATTTTCTGGCCCGCCTAATGCCACTGCGCCCCTCACTTGCCCCAGAAATGCAGAAATAAAAAAATTTTTTTTTTCCACCCCAAGCCAAAGTGCCATATTTAGGCTTTTTTCGGGGGGAAAGTCGACTTTCGCCAAAATCGAATTTTTCCGCCGGGTGAACGGTGATTCCGTATTTTCTGGCCCGCCTAATGCCACTGCGCCCCTCACTTGCCCCAGAAATGCAGAAATAAAAAAATTTTTTTTTTCCACCCCAAGCCAAAGTGCCATATTTAGGCTTTTTTCGGGGGGAAAGTCGACTTTCGCCAAAATCGAATTTTTCCGCCGGGTGAACGGTGATTCCGTATTTTCTGGCCCGCCTAATGCCACTGCGCCCCTCACTTGCCCCAGAAATGCAGAAATAAAAAAATTTTTTTTTTCCACCCCAAGCCAAAGTGCCATATTTAGGCTTTTTTCGGGGGGAAAGTCGACTTTCGCCAAAATCGAATTTTTCCGCCGGGTGAACGGTGATTCCGTATTTTCTGGCCCGCCTAATGCCACTGCGCCCCTCACTTGCCCCAGAAATGCAGAAATAAAAAAATTTTTTTTTTCCACCCCAAGCCAAAGTGCCATATTTAGGCTTTTTTCGGGGGGAAAGTCGACTTTCGCCAAAATCGAATTTTTCCGCCGGGTGAACGGTGATTCCGTATTTTCTGGCCCGCCTAATGCCACTGCGCCCCTCACTTGCCCCAGAAATGCAGAAATAAAAAAATTTTTTTTTTCCACCCCAAGCCAAAGTGCCATATTTAGGCTTTTTTCGGGGGGAAAGTCGACTTTCGCCAAAATCGAATTTTTCCGCCGGGTGAACGGTGATTCCGTATTTTCTGGCCCGCCTAATGCCACTGCGCCCCTCACTTGCCCCAGAAATGCAGAAATAAAAAAATTTTTTTTTTCCACCCCAAGCCAAAGTGCCATATTTAGGCTTTTTTCGGGGGGAAAGTCGACTTTCGCCAAAATCGAATTTTTCCGCCGGGTGAACGGTGATTCCGTATTTTCTGGCCCGCCTAATGCCACTGCGCCCCTCACTTGCCCCAGAAATGCAGAAATAAAAAAATTTTTTTTTTCCACCCCAAGCCAAAGTGCCATATTTAGGCTTTTTTCGGGGGGAAAGTCGACTTTCGCCAAAATCGAATTTTTCCGCCGGGTGAACGGTGATTCCGTATTTTCTGGCCCGCCTAATGCCACTGCGCCCCTCACTTGCCCCAGAAATGCAGAAATAAAAAAATTTTTTTTTTCCACCCCAAGCCAAAGTGCCATATTTAGGCTTTTTTCGGGGGGAAAGTCGACTTTCGCCAAAATCGAATTTTTCCGCCGGGTGAACGGTGATTCCGTATTTTCTGGCCCGCCTAATGCCACTGCGCCCCTCACTTGCCCCAGAAATGCAGAAATAAAAAAATTTTTTTTTTCCACCCCAAGCCAAAGTGCCATATTTAGGCTTTTTTCGGGGGGAAAGTCGACTTTCGCCAAAATCGAATTTTTCCGCCGGGTGAACGGTGATTCCGTATTTTCTGGCCCGCCTAATGCCACTGCGCCCCTCACTTGCCCCAGAAATGCAGAAATAAAAAAATTTTTTTTTTCCACCCCAAGCCAAAGTGCCATATTTAGGCTTTTTTCGGGGGGAAAGTCGACTTTCGCCAAAATCGAATTTTTCCGCCGGGTGAACGGTGATTCCGTATTTTCTGGCCCGCCTAATGCCACTGCGCCCCTCACTTGCCCCAGAAATGCAGAAATAAAAAAATTTTTTTTTTCCACCCCAAGCCAAAGTGCCATATTTAGGCTTTTTTCGGGGGGAAAGTCGACTTTCGCCAAAATCGAATTTTTCCGCCGGGTGAACGGTGATTCCGTATTTTCTGGCCCGCCTAATGCCACTGCGCCCCTCACTTGCCCCAGAAATGCAGAAATAAAAATTTCTTTTTTTTCCACCCCAAGCCAAAGTGCCATATTTAGGCTTTTTTTCGGGGGGAAAGTCGACTTTCGCCAAAATCGAATTTTTCTGCCGAGTGAAAGTCGATCCCTACTATTTAAGCGGTGGGCTATCCAGAACTGCCAAGAGCGTGTGGAAAAAATGAAAACTGAAATACAAATTTTGTGATTTTGCGATTTTTACATGAAAAAAAAATTTTTTAACATAAAATATCTATAAACACCAAACCACTCCTACTTGAGAATATTCCTAAGGACTTCCCCTAAAAAAATCACCAGCCCCCTGGGAAACGTACCTGTGGGTAGTAGAAGTGGAAAAACGTCATTTTTTTCCATTTTCACACAAAAAAAAAATCTTTAGACATGAAATATCTATAAACGCAGAAATAAAACACTATGATCTAATTGTCAAGGATGCGACGTTTCGCTAAATATATTTTAGATCATCGTATTTTATTTCTCCAAAACCCCTGATTCCTGGATTAATTTACATCGCTTGGAGATGAATACGGTTTAATAAATTTCAGCGATTTCAAAGCTTCCATTCGGAAAGAAAAATCATCCCTAATACTCAAAAAATAGCAGTAAAATAACATAATACAAGGGATGCACTCACATACGAAATGAGTAATCCAAGAAACCCCGTGATCGATCCGAACAGCAATACGTTGGGATCAGTAAATCCGAGAGTAATTATGATGAGCAAACCGCTGACGGGATTGTTTGCGAACACTACCTGAATCAGACACATCACTCCAGCAATCCCCCTTGCATCAACGCAGATAACAATAAATAACAGAAATAAAGAGACTGTACCTGTCCAACTCCCCTGACGGCCGCATCAATTCCACCTAGGCATTTCCACAAAATAGAATGCCTCTTACCCTGTTTTCTTTTCGATATCGCATCCCGCAGGAGGGGAAAATCTCCCATAAACACAGCCCACTTTTTATTGTTCTGGATTCATTCATATAAATGGAAAAATAGTTATTAACTACGCGGGGAGAAATTTCTATTCAAATTCGTCTTCAACTTCTGTTGAAGTGGAAAATGCAGTAATTCTGGTCAAAATTATAATTTTTAGGAGAGTAACTTCTAATAGAAATGTTTATGGTTGAAATCTCATCGTTCAAATTGGAAAAATGGAAGTTTTTCGAACTTTTTTGACAGTTTTTTTAGACGAATGTCCACTTTACTCAATTTTTTTTTTTTTATGCTTATTTTATATCGCTTCGAGTCTGATGAGACTATATGGCGATTGATCAAGACTTTAAAAATGGTTAGATCTCACCATTCTACCCGGCCAGGAATCGAACCTGGAACCTATCCGTTGTGAGGCAACGGCCTTAACCACTACGCCAGGCCACCGGGCGACTTTACTCAATGAAAGGCACTAACAAAGCCCATTTTTTTATTGTTTTGCGGTTGTCTATAGAAATAAAAATAAAATAGTTATTAACAACGTAAGAAGAATGAATGAATTTTCATTCAAATTCATCATCAACTTCAAGTAAAAAATATTTTAGGCGCAATTTTTATAACAGAATGTTTATTGTTGAAGTTATTTCATAGTTCCAATGGAAAAAATTCACGTTTTTCGAACACATTTTGCCATTTTTTACACAAGCGTGAATTGTACTCAATGAAATTGATTGAAAATAATGAAACTGCTAGTAAAAAAAACCATTTCTGTAGAAGTAATTAAATTCTTTCGAAGACTCTTTTTTTTTAATTCGTCAACCGCAAAAAAAACATCTCAAGTATAACATGCACTCGTCCTTGTCAACAATAGCCGCATAAAGCCGCACCACAACTCCATTCCAATCTCATTTTCAGTAACAAACTAAGTTAGTTTCAAGTTATGATTACTCTTCCGGATCCATTAGAACTGGCGCTCCTCGCTGACATTTTCGGTTATGTTCACTAACGAAGATTGAGACGCGTGAGGAAACTGATCAGGGATTTTTTTAATCGATCGAAAACCACATGTTATCCTATCCACGGTATAAATTGAATATTTTGTTCCTCAACCCCACCACACAATTGCTACCGAGACTTTCTAAACGGCATCTTGAATAATAATGTAGGCCAGATGTGGGGATATACGGGCATTAGCGCCCTGGTGGATTCAAATGCTCAATTATTTAGTCTTGAACCGCTAATTAGTGCGACTGTAGGACAATTAACTGCAGGCGTTGGGAATTGAATGGATTTTTTTCAGGTTTTCATTGATTTCTTGTATTGAACATTGAGGCGATGAATAGGATTGAGTAGCTCCGTTCGAAGGAGCCCCTGATTGATCCAGAGAGCAATAAATTCGGAGGAAATCGAAGAATAGTAACCATTAGTAAACCACTGAAAACGTCAGATAAGAAAAAAAGAAAATTTGGATTTTCAAGGGAATATTTTACCTGGCAGAGTATCTCAAATTTATCCCAGGAACAACAAATTAAATTTAATCCCAAGGTTCAATGAGTGTTGATTCAAATGGGGCTACAGGATAAATAAAAAATTATTCTTCGGATCAAATATTGAAAAATCATGACCGTTACGATGTAATTGATCCCGAGGATAAAGTATACCCTGGGGTTTATTTGGATAACTTCGTGCAACTCGGCCTTATTCTAGTATTTTTTTTTGTAAAAGGGTTATTAATGTAGCTCTACCGCTACAGTAAATTCAAAGATTATTGAAAACTGCGAAAAAATTCCAGAAAACTCGACTACATTCGGAATCGTAATTTTTTTTCAATTTAATGATCGTTTTGGTTTTCCAAAGAACAATCGAAATTTTTTAATATCAAGATTTAACCCAGTGTCTTATGTGAAAATCAACATTTCCATTGTAATTAAATATTAAAATCTGAATTTTTCTCTTCTCAGCCCCCGAAAAACTAGGAAAAATATTTATAAAAAATTAACTACTGAATTTTTTCCCACGTGATCTTTAATGACTTTTTAATTACCTTCATGAAGACATCTTAATTGCTCATCTTTTGTCATTTCTCCACATCAAAATTCTGATAGTCAATGCAATTTCATTGACCCTCCCTTTTCAATCGACGGCGTGAATAATAAACTAGGCCGGCTATTGGCATTGGCCTGACCCATTGAAAATCTCAATTATTCAGTGCTAATGAGTACGGTCGTTGGGCAATTAGGAAATGCAAGGAGATTTTTTCACATTTTTTTATTATTTTATTGTAGAAAAATTGAGGTAATAGAAGTAATGAGTATAACAGAATGCGATTGAATAACGATTGATGAATGTTTAGATATCGAGGACGTAGTTTGGGTGGACCACCAGGAGGGGATCCTCCTCTTCCTCCCCTCTTGCTTCACCCAATTCGCGGTTGGCGAGGGTGATGAAAATATTGTCCTGCAAGAGAAATACAAATTACTTCATTAATTATTGAAGTATTATTGACTTATTGATAACAACATTGTGATGAAAGAAACCTGGCGCATTTGAATAAAATGAAAATTCAATTGCAAGTTCTCTGAATAAATCCCTTTATGCAATTCAAATATAGTCGATTCAGTTCAAACGAATATATGCAACATCGGCAGAGCGAAATTCCACAATTTTTTTTCATTTCGAAGCAATTTTTTCATACTTCAAGGATATCCAAGTAATACTTTCCTACTTTTGTAGTTGAACGTCAGAACTTTCATCTCAGCCTCATTCAACTCTAAGTTTCCAGATATTTTGCAGTGATTTAATTAATTAAACTTTGCAGGTCTGCATCTGAATCTTGACATTAAATCGTTAGGAAACATTTGTTCGGAATCGAAACACATTTATTCATATTCAGAATAAAAAAAACCTTTCCGAAAGACTGATCAATTTCAATTATTAACTTATAAACAACGAATGTCTAAAAAAATGATAATTCTATATCAAATGTAATTTTAATGAAGCTGAATACTCATGATTGTTTCCAATTTTTCTCACGCAATTTAATCGACGAATTTGACGATTAAAATCTGTAAAAGATACTTGGATATGCTTAACACGGGATTGTACACATTCAGACCGTATTCTCCAATCACGAAGTATCAACAATTTAAGAATCTCAAATTTTATCCTCAAAGAATGTTGAATCTCAAATCATGACTCGAGCCCCCCAGAATTCCCCTAAACTCACCGTATAAGTCAACCGATCAACGATCTTCTCCACCAAGGCCTTCCTCTCGAGCAGCTCCTCCTCCGAGTCAATCTGCTCCTGAATCTGATCCAAATACCAGGCAACCAGCTCGGACTTCCTGATGCCAGGCTCCCCCTCGTCCTCGATGCTGTTCTCCTTATTCCTCATATAAAGCACCAGCATATTGCTCAGACACTTGTACTGCTCAAACGACATTGTGAGCTTCTTTTTGGGGGCTCCCTCCTCCTCCTGCACCTCCTCCTGCCCATTGGTCTCGTCTCCCAGGGCATTGAGGGCCTCCATCAAGGGAGGCGCATCGTCCAGGTCCATGCCATCAGCCCTGACAGTCTGGTCCTCCAGGTCGATGTCAGGCTGCTCCACCCTCACAATACTCTTGCTCAGCAGTCTCCTCGCCTCCTTGACGTGCTTGACAGTGACCTTGTCCGCACACTCGAGCTTGGCGAGGGCCTCGGAGAGCCTCACCAGGCTCTCCAGCTGCCTCACAGTGACCCTCCACGTGGACTTGCCACTCCCCACCCCCTCCCTCTGCCTGAGAACAGTGTAGCTCTCCACCAGGAGCTCAGCAGCGTCAGGATTTATCGAGGGCTTGAAGTGCTTCGCGAAGTTTATGTACCTCAGGATCTCGGACTGATCGTAAATTGTGTCTATTGTGTGGATATTGTTGCTGTGGAGGTCGACAATCTTCTTGGCGATGGCGTTGTCCACTACCTCGTTGCACTCGTCAACGAGGATGAAGAAGAGATCGAATCTAGACATGATGGGGGCTGTCAGCGTGACGTTCTGCTGGAGGGACTTGCTCCTGTCGTATCTGCTGCTAATGGGGTTGGCAGCTGCCAGAATTGAAGTCCTTGCGTTTAACGTCGCTCGCACCCCGGCTTTCGCTATCGATATCGTCTGCTGCTCCATCGCCTCGTGGATGGCCACCTGGTCCTTTGGGTCCATCTTGTCGAACTCGTCGATGCAGCAGATCCCGTTGTCAGCGAGCATCAAGGCACCAGCTTCTATGACGAAGTCTCCTGGGGATCGATAAGTGGACAGTTCCGTTATTCAATTCAATTCATTTGTTTCTTTGATGTTACAAAACTTTTGTCTTTGGTTTATGTAATAGTGCCATTATTTTTTTTTTTATTGTGACTATGGCCTGTGAGGTTAATTGAATTGGGATTGTTTTTGGAATCGATGATAAAGGAAATTCATTTATTTTGTCGCCTTCATGGTTGATGAAAAATAATCATGACTTTGTTAATATCGCATTCTGCAATCTGCATTGAGTCGAATAATAATGCAGAGGAATGAATGATAGTGATGATGGTTAATGAGGAAAATTGAATGGAGATTATTTTTGTAATCGATAATGGAATGAAATTCATTTTTCATTATCATCTTGATGATTGATGGAAAAAATCACGAGTTTATTCAAATTACGTGAACGAATCGTCATTATTTGAGGTCATTATTTGAGGAATGGAAATGTTTCAGATATCATTATTTATTTTATCGCAATGAAAAAATTTTCAATCACAATTTTAGATTAGAGCGGAAATTTCTGATGTAAGAATGAAATAATTGAAATTCTCAATTACTCATTTATAATGGAATGAAAAATAGTTTCATTCTATCGCTCATTGATAAAATGGCTTATTTTTTTTCCGGGAAAAAAAAATATAATTGGAGAACTCTGGTCACCTGACTCCTCGTCTCGGACGACAGCTGCTGTCAACCCAGCTGCTGAGGAGGCTTTCCCCGACGTATAAACAGCCCTGGGGGAGATTTCAGCAACTTGTTTCAAGAGTTGGGATTTTGCAGTACTGGGGTCACCCACTATGCAGCAGTTTATGTCCCCTCGGAGACTTGTGCCCTCGAGGGTGGTCTTTGGAACCCCTGCAAAGAGCATTAAAGTAATGCCTTTCTTCACTTCATCGTTTCCGTGGATCGAGGGGAAGAGACTGGCGACGAGGTTCTCGTAGAGATTCTTGTCGCGGGACATCTCGTAGACTTTATTCCATTCGGACTCGGTCATTTGGCGCTTCATCATCTCCTGGGAGATCTCCTCCATCGCCATCTCAGTACCTCCGAACTGATGAGGAGGAAACGATATTATTGCTTGATTTCAGGGTTCAGGTGGTTGTCAATTTATCCCAGCAACGATAGATTTTAAAGAAAAAGGTCACAAGATCGTTTTTGCAGAGAATTTTCTCAACTACAAAAAAAGGATTTTGGCATTTTACGGTAAACCTCATCGTTTCGGAGTTAATTAGACAATTCTTCAGTGAAGTGATGAAACAGAATAAAAAACTCAACTTTAGGATGATTTTTCAGTCGTCAATATGTCAAGATTGGCTGAGTAAAATTCAATGGAAATAATGAAATAGGGGGGATAACGCCTTTTTTTCAGAGGTGATTTTTCAAAAATTTATTTAAAAAAAAGTACTAACTAGCAACTGTTTTTTATTAGCTCGCAATTTTCTTCAAAACTATTTCAATGAGGAAAAAAATAAAAATTTGGAATATCTATACATGGGGGGCTAATTGATCGGATCTGCTAGCGTATTGACTCAAAAGATATTGAACGTTGAAGAGTCTCATTTCACCTCATTCTGTTGTACTATTTCACTATTGACTTCTCTTCCCCATTTTGACTCTCAAAAAATTCACTACACACAAGTTCTCCGTAGTAAAATCGTAATTACCCTCAAGCTCGTCGCAGTTACACTACACGCGAGGAATGACAGACGATAATTCAACTCTCGAACCCCGAGGGCCTTCAGCCCCTTGACACCCTCGCCCTGATCCCCAGCTTTATGCCTCGAACTGATTTCCGCTTTTGTTCCGGGCAATGCGAGTGCTCCAACGTCAGGCACAACTATTAAAGTCCCCGTGAAGTCATATCTGCGGTTGAATAATTCGTTTTACAGACAATGAATTTTATGATCTAGTGGGTCGTTAAGTTTATTGTACCTGTCTCCTGCCTGCACTGTCTCAACAGCCTCAGCTCGTAAAATTATTTCGAGGGAACGGGGAATACATCCTCGAGGGAGTTCAGATTGTGTTTCCTGAATTCTCACTTTTTGGAAGTCTACGAATACGGAATTGTCCACGTCCAGGACGAATCTTCGACGGTTGAGGCAGACTGGGTTGTTGCATATTGTGGGGTTTGTGAACTGAAAAAATTTATTTATCAACAATTTATTAACAAGAGTGAATAGATTAAAATTAAAAATAGAAATTAGTTTTAATTTAAGGCTTTTTATCTTCATAATGTAAAATATATCACAATTTCCATTGGATTTTACATCACTCAGGAGTCTCTAAAAATTATGATTGTACAATCAAAAACGGTAGAAAAAGAACTGAACATTTTCAAAGCGCGTTTTTAATAAAGATTAAGAAATAAGTCCGATAGAGAGGAAATAGTGAATGGATAATTTATCATGGTAATTAACTATCTGACAGCCATTGACTACTGTGACAAATGACGACCTAACAGTCATGCATTTGAATTGTATCATTATTTTGGGGGATATTGAAGATTTAGTGCAGTGGTTTTTGTTCATTCTTCATTACATCAATCGTCACTTATTTGTTAATTCTGCAAATATCTCGTAATTGAGCAGGTTCGAAGAAAATTGTCAAAAGACATCTTTTGTAGAGAATTTTCTCAGCTACGCAAAATATCTTATGGCTTTTTCCTCTAAAATTTATCCTCGCAGAGATAATTTGACAGTTGATATTGGATTATGAATGAGATATTTACTTTGAACTGCTGCTCGACGTTCTTTATAACAGCATTGCAATCGACACAGATGAAGGTCCCAGACACTAACTCTGGGTGCACCGGGTGAGTCCTGACCACTTGTCCTGATATACGAATGAGTGTCCCTATTTTGGAGGTCGTTAATTCTCGGAGTTTGTGTCTGGTGGGAACATCAACGAGACTGACGTAACACTCTTTCTCTTTTTTCAAATCCCCAGCGTCCTTCACGAAGTTCCAGACCGCTTGGCAGAGGTAGGGGTAGATCCTGAGGGATAAAATCATCATCAACAAAATATAAAACCATAAAAAATTTTATTTTAGAACTCTAAATGGCGAAGAGCATTGAATAGAGAAGTTGTGAAACAGAACTGCATGAAATTGAACTTTTGAATCTCCAATATCTTCTGACTCAATTCTGCGATTTGGACGAGTCACGTTTCATTTCAAAATTTGAAAAAATATCTTGAAAATGAAAAAAAAAATTGCTGAATTTCATTCAGCCAATCTTGAGATATTGACGATTGAAAAATCATCCTGAAGTTCAGTTATTCAGTTATTTTATGCCTTTAATAGTGAATTGTTTAATTATCCTCAAGGTAATCTTCCTCTAAAATATTTCACCATTTTTCGCTGAATCCCATTATCATTACCTGTAATATTCCTCGATGATTGTTGTCGCAAGTGCTTGATTGTACCTCTCGATATCATCAAAGGAAACCACCAAGGTGCTGCGTTCAGGGCTGACGAGCTCCTTCGCAGGCTCCAAATACTTGACCTCATCATCCTCCCTGTACCTATCCCCAATAACCCCCAAACCCAATCTCAGTCTCAAACTTTTTAATTAAACTCCACCAAAGAAGAAAAGAATACTCACTCCTCCAAGAAACTTTGAAACAACCTCTGACAATGGGACCCTATCTCGTCTTTCACTCGATTCTGTCTCGCCTGTACATCCCCGAAATCCATGATCTATGTTTCTCCAGACTATTTCAATAATCGAAAATAAAACTAACAGAAGATAATTAAATTAAGAGTACAACACACGAATAAAAATACAGAGTAAAAAAACGTAAACAGAATTGGAGAAGCGAGGCGAGCGTGTACTGTAATGACGCCTCCAACCTAAAATCGAGTATCAACCGCACATTTTTGGCGGGAAATGACAGCCGGATATGGCGTCACTCCCCCCCCCCTTCGACGTCCTAAATTCTAAAGAAGCGAGAGTAAAAATTCAATCGAAATTTTTATAAATTGACATTCCTCTGGGTTGTTATGGAATTATCTCAAGATCTAGTAGCTTTAGGAGAAAATGTCCCAAAATATTTTTTGTAGAGAATTCAATTTCCTGCAAAAAATGTCTCGACATTTGCCCCTAAATCCCCTGATTACCGAGATAATTCGATATTAAGAGGCGAAAAATTGAAATGAATGAATGAATGATTGAGAGACTCTTGAAAAAATAAATAAAACCCAATTTTTTCAAAAATATCCTATATCATATCTTTTATTGATAAATATACATATGCCTAAAGAATATACAGGTGATAGTAATAACTACACTGTTAAAATTTTTCATCAATCAAATCCAATGATTCAATAATCAATCAAATTATGAAATAACGAGTCAAGTAAAACTCAACTTTAACGTAATTCCACTTCAGAAAAAAAAATAACTGACCTGTGGAAAATGAAAGATAGTTTTATGAATTGAATAATGCGTTGTTGATGTCATCCTCAAATCAATACAAATGAATAAGTCATCAATAAATCAACGAAATGAATTCCTCAGTCTCACGAAAATTTTAACAGTGTACTCTCGCAGCATCAAGTAGTATCTTAACTAATACATACTAACGAAAATTTTGAATCAATCTCGCTCTGAATGATACAACTTTACATGGATTAATGTACACCCAGTTCATGTATCCATTGTACATAAAACCGTTCTATTGTGTGCTGAGGAAAAAGTGGCTGTGACCGTGAATCCAAGAGAAAAAAGTTGTTTTTAAAAAAATTCTAATGAATAGAGCAATGATTACAAGAGTAATTCACCCATTAATTGCATTTGATTTCTCGGTCCTTCGTACAAATACTCCATGCTCACTACATCGCATAAACTATTTGATAGTTCTATATGTCTCTCTAACGTGTCATCTTAACTTATGATTTTACAGAATATTCATGTGTCTCTCAATCACGACTTCTGCGGCCTCCCCCGTTTCTTGATCGGCGTATTCGCTGACTGTTTTGTGATGCGCGATTTTCTCTTTTGTAGCGTTGGAATACTACTGTGACTACGCAGATGACGAATATAAAGGTATTTCGACCTGAAGACTTTCTTGCATCTTCGACACCTCTGAACCTTCATTTTCTCTGAAACTGATTTTTAAAAAATCATTAAACAACCTTCGAAAAAACAAGAGGACAATTGCATTTTTTAATAAATGAGTCTAGTTATGAATAGGGTCATTTTTTTGAAATTCTTATTTCAGTATTCTCTTCTTCTCCTTTTTCATGACATCGTATTATCAATTGAAATGATATCAATTTGTTGAGCCATGATTAATTCCATTTTGATAACTATTTTTTAGTGATCATTTAAAAATAGATTTTTGGAAAAACCATCAAATTTTCGAATTTATATGAAAAATAGAATTTTAATTGATGTCACTCAGGGACAGCCATATTCATAAATTATAATTATCGTTAAATTTTGAACTAATCCATTCGTTAATATCACTCTTAAATTTTTAATTATTGAAGTAACCATTAATTTAAATATTCAATTTAGTTAGGACTAAAATCTCTTTTATGAAATTTACTATTATTTACTTGATAGAAAAATTTACAGTTGATGTTACATCAAAGTCGATAATCATGAAAAAACCCGTGAAATTCAATTGCTCCTTTCCGCGAAGATTAAAAAAATTGTAAACTCAATTTTGAGCGATTGAAGCTCTTCCATTAATAAGGAAAACCCCTAAAAACCAACAAAAACCCCTCCTCACCAATTTTCTTGGTGGCATGTTGCAGGGAATGCGCCAGCATAGCGGCGAGACTGGGAAAGGACCTCCTGCAGTCCAAGCAATTGATCCTCTTGGTCCCAGCGTTCCTCCAAATCCTCCCCCTCTTCACCTTCCTGAACCTCTCTCTCCTCTTGCCCCTCTCCACCTTCTTCTCCACCTCGTCCTTCCTCCCCAAGCTCCTCGTCCTCCTCCCCTCCCTCAGTCTCTCCTGGCTCACCTTCTTCTCCTCCTTCCTAATAGTATTGATCTTCTTCCTCAGAGAGTGCATCAGTTTCACATGCCTCGCAAGAGCCACCACCACCTCGAACCTCTCATGACAGCTCTTGCACTTGTACTCCTTCTTCCCCCTTCCCTTGTCCCTCGTATTCCCCTCATTGACAGACTTGAGCCTGGCAGACCTCATGGGGGCAGTTCGTCTGGTCCCACTCCTAGTCCTCTCTGATATCGTCCCCTGGGCCTTTCCCCCCTTGGAGCACATCCTCGAGTGCATCTCCAGCCCCCTCTTCCCCCTGAACTCCCTCCTGCACCTCTGGCACTTCAAAATCTCCACCAATCGCCGTCTCGTTCCTCTCCTCCCCCTCCTCTCAGCCCCATCGTCATAATCGCTGTCGTCACTGTCGTCCACCTCCACCTCCTCCTCCTTGTCCTCATCGTCGTCAGAATCCCCCACCATGATGACGTCGTTCTCCTTATCACTGGAGCCCTTCTCCTTGCCATCCTCAAGGGTAATGATCTCCCTGTTGACATCCTCCAGGTCAATGTCAATCACCTCAATCCTGTACTTCTTCTTCTTCCTCGGTTTACTCGTCTTCCTCCTGGTCCTCATGTAGGGTGTCTTCTTCATCGTCGTGTCTTTCTTCTTTTTACGTCGTCCCCTCTTCTTCGGCTGGACCTTCCACCTATTCTGGTACAAATTCTCCTCGTCAACTTCAGTCATCATTGCTGGCTGAATTATTATCTCTGAATCAGCTCGATTCACTGTCGTCAACTGCTGCTTCCTCGGACGTTTTATCCTCAGTACTTCCGAAGAGTTCAGTTTTGTGAAGGTGTCGTCCTGGGGGAAGCTCTCATTATCCTGGGACAAGTTCTCGTTATCCTGGGAAAAGTTGTGCTCCTCGCTAACGTCTTGATCGTCGATTGGCTCGACCTCCAGATCAATCCCCACTGCATTCAAACTCTCTGATTTGACTCCTCTGGATAAGGAACTTTTGCTGGACCTGGGGATCGCCTGATCCTGCTTCAGGATCTTCTCGATGTCCGCCAGGGTGAGGTCTGAGGGGTCTGGAGGGGGCTCGTCCGACAGAATATATTGCACTTTCTCAATCACTTTGGTCTTTATCTCCTCTTTAACTGGGGTTCTCTGCTTGCTCTCAGGCTCTCCCTGGGTTTCAATCATCGAATTGTCCTGCACCACCAGGTAGACGTTGTCCGATGGCCAGCTCTCGTACAATTCACTGTTGGGGAGGTTCTCCTCAATGTTCAAAGTGCTTTTGTAGTCGTTCTCTGGGGGATTTTCGTCCTCCTCGTCAGAGAATGGAATTTCCTTCTTCACGCACTTCTGGGGAGATCTGAATTCTATGATTTCCTCCTTCTGTGGGGTCGGAGTTTCTGCTGGAGGCTCAGGGGACGCTGGGACTGGTGGAGGGATTTCTTCCATTGCGTAAATCTGCTTCTTAAATTGGGATGTTTTTTTGACTGTTCTTACTGCACCCTCGCCGATGAGCTTCTCGACGTCGTCCCTCATGAGGAACTGGAAGTCTGAGGGGGGCTCGCCCGATTCGTCGTAGACAGCCACAGCGAATATCTCGTCCGAGTCCTCGACAGCGTAGAGGGCCAACTGCTGACCAGCTGCTGTTATGAAAGTGGCTATCGTCTCCTCGTCTGACTCGTCCTCTGGGGGTGGCTCCAGGAGGACTAAATTGGGGTCGTAGTCCTCGAGCTCTTTCTTCATGTTGTTGTTCTGGAAAATGACTGGGGAGGGGGTGCCCTCGCGGTGGAAGAGGTTGAACGTCTCCTCCTTCACCTGGATATCGTAGTTGGAGAGGGTGTGGGGGGGGACCTCCGGGAGTGAGGATGAGGCTAACCTCTCGTTTACCTGCGAATCCATGAGTCGATTGAATTCATTAGTTGGGGGGGTACTTCGTTTCGAGGGGAAATGGGGGGACTACTGATGATGGGAATTTTAGATTTGTTTAGTTTTTATTTTATTCGCTGAGGGCAGACAAAAGAGCAACTATTGAATATCAGCAATGCAACAGTCAATTGTCACTCAGTTCACACTTGTATTCAAGCATTGCGCGAGACATTTATATTGTGATTGTCTTGATGATGGGGGTTTTGGAAAATTTCAAAAGACGTTTTTTTAGAGAATTATATTTTTAAAAAATGTGTGCATGTTGCTATTAATGAGTAGATTAAGAAAATTTGAGGTTTACAGTGATTAAGGTTCACATATAATCATCAAAATTAAAACATAATAGAATAATGGATAATATAAACTGTTAATTCAGTAGTGAAGCGGTAAACCGGTTTAAGTTGATTTAGACTGTTTGTCAGTTTTTAAAGAATATCTCGGAACCTAATGGAGATAGAGAAATTTTTGTCATGACCTTTTTTGTAGAGCCAATTGAGGGCTATAAAAACAGTCATGAGAACAATTTTGCTATCTCTCTTAGATTTCGAGATATTAATCAAAAAGAGACAGCTCTGAATGGGGATTCGTTTAGTTAAAGATATTCGAGGGAATGAAAGAGTTGTAATTACTTAAAGTGGCATATTCATTCGTATTAGACAAAAAACAGTTGAATATAATATATCATTCAATTGTCCCTCAATTCACATTTCTATTTAAGCATTTCCCAAGAATTTAGATTGTGACTCGACGATAACTGCTTACAGGAGAAAATCAACAGATGTTTTTGTAGAGAATCAATCGAAAAAGTCTTATCATTCCTTTCTAAAACTACTGACTCTGTCCCGAACTCCAAATAAACAACGATAGCAAATCAGTCACCACATTTTGACAATTCAACTGTCGCATGAAACCCAATGAAACCAATAAATTCATTAATTACTACCAACTCACCATGATTCTCACTCTGAATGTGTCTGTCTATAAATATATTATGACATTCTAGATTCAACTTTTCCCAAGTTGTACTTTCGCCAATTGCACATCTACCCAGCACACATCGCCGTGCCTCCAACCAATACCACAATCACTAGTAAAATTCAAGAATCTCCAACATCTGCAATCAAATCAATCGTCATAAACCGATAAAACATAAAAACGTTCGTGTATTTTTCCCAACTTTCAGGTTATGTTTTTTATATTTTTAGATGAAGATATAGAGTATGTGTTTTCCTATTTACCTACCCCCTCGACGAAAAATCCACCGCCTGCGAAACGCCTCGCACCCCCAAGATATTACATAAACACAGGTCCTATCGATATTAATTTCTACAACTTCTCGAATTATTTTGGGATGCGACCGATAATAAATTGATGGAGATCAATTGTAATGCATCGAGCACCTCCAAAAGGCATAAGTAACATAACACAACCACACACGTATCCTTTATTTCGTGTTTTCATTATCAATCGCAAAGGCGCGTCTCCAATCCGCGACGAGAAGAGCAGAGGGGCAAAACCGGACACCCTTCAAAGTCCAATATCTCGGGAGCTAGCGATGCAATTTCAAAAAATTAAAATTGATTTTAAAGCTCGTGAAAAAATCTTCAAAGTGAAAAAAATATCGGGAAAATTCACTCAGCCGGTCGTGAGATATCGCCATTTGAAGCAACACCTTTTGCCCTCAGTTCTCGTAATTTAAGATGGCGGAGGGAAAGAGACGCCAAGCGAGGGAAAAGAGGCGGAATAAACTGTTGTGTGAGTATATATTGGTGCATCCGCGAATATCCCATACATTTATAGAGCACCGAGAGCACGCCGGGGAGTGAAAAACGGCAGAACAATTAATTTATTCGTATTTAATGAGCCAGAGGGTTTCATTTTGTTGATTGATGGGTAAGTGAGAATTTAAAAAATCGAATTTCTCTCATGAAACATGAAGTAACGTCTTTGTGCACGTTTTGCCCTTGAATCGGCTTGGTTCGTTACGGGCACACGTGGACGTAACTGATATAACCCCAGTGTTAACAATCTCAATGTCGATGATAAGTGACGCACTGATTGTGAGATACGATGTTTCTCTCGTAATTTAAATCCTCAAATAGGACACGAAGTAAATTGGCCTGATCACTAGATTAATTATTCCGGGGGGAGGGGGTTTTGTTTCAGAGAATGATTGCACCGTCTGCACACGACGCGAGACAATCAGAGGGAACGCTGCATGAAGAAAACTCGAATTTATAGGATTTCTTCAAGTGAATTAGATAGGGAATTTTTTATTGTTTTTTTTAGATTTGTGCCTGAAAGATTGAAAATAAGATTTTGAGATGTCAAAGGGAGTCGATCCGAAGGAACTGGAGCCCATGAATGCGGCTGGGGCTGGAAAAAATGATAAAGTGAGGATGAAGAAGCAGTTGGGGTTGATGGAGGGAGTTGCTATCATCTTGGGAATTATTTTTGGCTCAGGTAAAATGATATTTTTTTTACTCTTCACAGATCATTAATGATGAATTTTTCATCTAGTGTATTAAATTCTTCATAATGATTTTATGGAAAAGATTGATAGAGTGAACTTTTTATATTAGAAATGTATCTGATGCTAAATTTTGTGATGGCATTTTTTTCTTATTCATCAGAAATTATAATTGTTCATCTAGTATATTAAATTATTCGTGACGATTTCATGGAATAAATTGATGGATTGACTTTTCCATTTTCTTAAAAATGTTAAATGTTAAATTTGACGTTAAATTGTTGCTTTCTCCGCAGGAATTTTCATATCACCGGCAGGTGTGATCCAGGAAGTTGGTAGTGTTGGTATGTCCCTGGTAATTTGGGTGTTGTGTGGGCTGCTGTCGATGATCGGGGCACTTTGTTACGCAGAACTGGGGACTAGTATACCCAGGAGTGGAGGAGATTATGCGTATATTCATGAGGCCTTTGGTGCATTGCCTTCATTTTTGTATCTGTGGGCAGCTAATCTTATTTTTGTGTAAGAATTTAAACGATTTGATCTAGATTTTTCGTATTTTGGTGAATTTCACTCAAATTCTCAAAATTTTTTACGTCTCCAATCAAGAAAAAAAAATTCTTATCAATTTCCATATTTTTTATCAACAGACCAACAACAAATGCAATTATGGCATTGACATTTGCCAAGTACGTCCTGCAGCCATTTTTCATCAGCTGCAGTATTCCTGATGGCAGCGTGAGACTGATAGCAGCTTTAACCATCTGTAAATCCGTCAAAACTTAATGAATTAATTAACAAAAGTGCGACACTGACGATTTAATTTTCAGGTTTACTAACATTCGTAAATTGTTACGACGTGAAAGAGACCTCCAAGATGCAGAACATCTTCATGTTCGCCAAGATCGCAGCCCTAGTCATCATCATTCTGGCGGGATTGGGGTGGCTGATCCTTGGTAAGACTGAGAACTTCCACGATTCCTTCAAGGATACCACTAGCGACCCTGGCAGGATTGCTGTTGCCATTTACTCTGGTATTTTCTCGTACTCTGGGTGGAATTACCTTAATTTCATGACTGAGGAGTTGAAAGATCCTTATGTGTGAGTGTTTTACCGTAATGCACATTATTTTGTTTAATTGCTATTAATTGATCTTTCTTTTGTGCAGAAATTTACCTCGTGCCATTTACATTTCTCTGCCACTAGTGACTTTAATTTATGGTCTTGCCAATATTGCGTATCTTGCTGTTCTCAATCCAACTGAGATGATGGCTTCTGGTGCCATTGCTGTGGTAAGATCTCATTCATAATAATTAAATTAATGGCATAACAATCTTCAGATCTTATTAAATCTAATTAATTAAAATAAGTCATTTTATTTATATTTCATTTGATTGCATTTTCTTCTTCGAATTTTTTTCATCTAGAAAAGAGTCCTGTCAAAATTCTGTTCTAAAATCGCTAGCTTTTGATCATAGTACTTTAAAATTTGTGTTTTCCTGCTTGAAAACATCATTTCAATGTCATGAATTTTAATTTTTTCAGAGTCTGGCCGACAGAACGCTAGGCGTTATGTCCTGGATAATGCCAGTTCTCGTAGCAGCAGCGTCTTTTGGTGGTTTGAGTGTTCACATAATGACATCCTCAAGAATGTGCTTCGTTGGGGCACGTAATGGACATTTTCCAGCAATGCTCAGTCACATCAATGTCAAACGTCTCACACCCACCCCAGCTCTCGTTTTTCTTGTAATTTGAATCCTGAATTTGAGCCGATTATTTATCTATGTGGAGACTTATGGAGAAATTTTTCTTTCAGTGTATATTGTCGTTGATGATGCTTTATACGAGCGATATTTATGTACTTATAACGTACTGCAGTATTGTGGAGTCATTTTTCATAACGGTGTCGGTTGCTGGTATTCTCTGGTTGAGGTATTCCCGTCCAAAAATGGACAGACCAATAAAGGTAATTGGAGAATTTTTCCATTAATATTTAATGAAACATCAGACTTGAGAAGAGGTGAGTTTTTCCAAAAATTCATTTTTCTCAAATGTGAAATTATTTCGTTGGTGAATAATTTTAGAAGAGAATCCCAAGAAGAATATATTATTCCCAATAAAAACGTGAATATTCTTCAAAAAAATTCTCTTGAAATTTTTCTCTAAATTCATTCATTACATCGCTTTTTTCAGGTGAAAAATTTTCTTCAACTGAACTTTTTTCATATTTTCAGGTGGCTCTATGGATTCCCATAACATTTGTCACTATTTGTGCCTTCTTAGTTCTCGTTCCTTGTTACGTGAAGCCCTGGGAGGTCATCATGGGCACTGTAATTACACTCTCTGGAATTCCTGCTTACTTCGTGGGGATCGTGTGGAAAAATAAACCGGACTGGTTCCAGCGTTTCAATGGTATTCTCTGACAATCAAAATACTTGTGGCGTATTTTTAAAATTTTAATAACTCTTTGTTTGCTAAGAATTAAACTCTTTCATATTCATTGTTTATCCTAATTGTCATGTAAATTTGCAGTTAAAGCCACTCACTTCGTGCAGAAGCTATTCATATCTGCAAAGGAGGAACGAGATGACTAAAGAATGAATTCTACATCGGAAATTGTTCCAAAGATAACGTTCTCTATTTTCTCCAAGCCAAATACTGATTGACTGTGCTCCTCATGAATTTTACAACCCAGTGAATCTCATCGCTCATCACATGCATTCATCATTTATTTCTGAAGATGGCATTACTGTTAAGGATTGATATTAATTTGCTACGCATCACATGCATTCATTATTTATTTCTGAAGAAGGCATTATTGTTAAGGATTGATATTAATTTGCTACGCATCACAGAACTGCAGGAGCCATTGTTGGAGTGAATCTCTTTATTTTACTTTATTTATTTGTTTTCATACAATATAACGCACAGAGATGGGTTAAACGTTAACAAGTCCATTATCTTGTTAACTAAACAATTTGGAGCCATACTTTTTTTTGTTCAGTAAATTATTTACACAATTCGGCTAATACAATTTTTACATGTGTCGCATGAATAAAGATATTTTGGTTTACTTAACAAACTCTTTTGTTTTATTTTATAATTGATTCAATTATTGCGGCACTCGGAATGTTGGATAATTTTATTGAATTAATATAATTTGGAAATCGGCGCGATGAAGACATTTAAGAAATACATTGAAGTTCATAAAATTCCTTTGAGCCATGTTCAGGTCAGCAGCAACACAAAAAGAAATGCAAGAATTGAAAATAAAAAATAACTGATGAAAATTCATCCAGAATCCGCTCTGAGCTGTCAATGGAAGGTGTGAACAGACTCATAAAAAGAAGAACATGGCCCAAAAAAAGTTTATCAACTTGAAAACACGGGTGAGAACGTCAATTTCCTTGGAAAGAAATAAATCTAATCGAGAATTTTTACTTTACTCTATTTATTATTTTCATACAATATAACGCACGGAGATGGGTTAAACGTTAACAAGCCCATTATCTTGTTAACTAAACAATTTGGAGCCATACTTTTATTTGTTCAGTAAATTATTTACACAATTCGGCTAATACAATTTTTACATGTGTCGCATGAACAAAGATATTTTGGTTTACTTAACAAACTCTTTTTATTTTATCATTGATTCAATTATTGCAGCACTCGGAATGTTGGATAATTTTGTTGGATCAATTGAATTTGAAAATCAACACGACGAAGACATTTACGATATAAATCCAATCGAGAAAGTGGATTATTCATAATTAATGGAGAATAATTTTGTGTGTTTGGTGATCTGAATCAGTGAATATCTTCGGGATTGAACATGCCCTAGAGAAAATAAATTCGTTGCAGTTATTTGGATTATCCCAGCATTAGGGGTAGAATAGAGAAAACTTGAGTTTTTTAAATGAAGATGAACATTTTTCTCAGTTGTGCACATTTAAAAAAATCAAAAGTCTTTATTTTCCCTCATTCATCCCTGATTGATTATCTAGGGTCTTACCTTAGCCCGACGAAGGATTGAATCCTTGCTGGCATCGTAGGGATGATCTTTGCTCGGAATTTCAAGGACTGAGGGGACTGGTGCTGTGTGGCTATCGATCACATGACGAATCATCTCTGCAACCTGAATTGAACAGAACATTTTTTTAATCCCGTCTGAATGCGGTATTCAACGAATTTGTTGGTCAATGAATTTAGAATTTATCCCTACGTTCTGATTGATGAGGATGATGTCGATGTCGTCACGTTTGACGAAGCGTTTGAAGGTTTCTTCAATCTCACCGACTGCTGTGTCTGTTTAAAACAGATGAAATAAGTGATACAAACTTTTAGAGAAGAGAAAAGAGGAGGCGAGAAGAGAATTAATTGAAGAGGTTGCAGGTAATTATTGATCATTAATTATCTTGGGAAGAAGTGGATTTAGGAGACAACAACGAGACTTTCGACTAAACACTTTCATTATCGAGTTAAACACCTATTCACGAAAATACTGAAAAGCATTTTCAATTATTATTATCATGTTATTTAACTCATCATATTTACTTTTGTCCACGACCATGAAATTGGGCTGGCGATTTTTATTAATTTCTCCAACTCCACCGAGCAAAAATCCCACACACGTGTCCTGAAAAAATCAATCCCCAAAAATGCAGAACCCCTCATAAATCCATCGATTAATTGATTGAGATAAAAATCACAATCATCCACCAATCAATACGAAAACAAAGTTTCGGAGCAGAATGCATGGACTCACCTCATCCCCAATGACCGCCAGGAGTTTGCCCTTTCCTGCAGAGTGAAGAGCCATATTTAACGACAAAGACACTCGCAAATCAGTCAATTTTTATGCCGAGGGATATCAATTTACGAAAATCCTATTGCTCTTATTTTTCGGGAGTAAATTGACGATGAACCGTCACACCTTCGTCTCCCTCGTGACCAGCTGACGACTCCACCTATCAAAACTGGAAATAAAATCCAGGGGAATGTCAAGCTCGAGGCACGTGGGGGAGCCCAGTGGCATCAATCAGAGCACGAGGTGCGCATTGTCAACGCGAGATGTCGTTCAAAGAGAATTCTGCAGCTGAACAATAATTCGTGCGTACAAGAGGATTTTCAAGATCAAGATCACCTCCAAAACCAATTGATTTGTTTAGTTATTGGGCAATACAGGAGTTGACACTCACGATCTATGTAAGAGGAGTCCTCTCGAACCGGCCTACGTTTCTTCTTCTCCTCGGGTTCGAACTCCGCCCTGAGAGACGAGTCATCGAATTATTTTCGTTTGTTTTTGAGCGTATTTATGGGGAGGATCAACTGATGAGGGGATATCGTACAAAATTCCAATGTGATTGACGGCGCTGAGTGTTTTGATATTGAAAGGACTCAGAGGAACGTAAAACTGTCCGGCAACAGAGAGTAAGTGTCTTTTTTGGAGAAATAATTTATTTTAATCAATTGGTTTTTTTTGGTTTTGGCAGTTGTCCATTTGGGGAGATTGTTTTTTTGTAGAGTCGAATTTTCAATAACACATGTGTTTTGATATTTTTTTTCACACCCACTCATTACTAGGGTAATTAGATACTTTGGGATATTATAAAACGGAATTTAATGACACACTCCGAAAGCAATTCCTTTAATTGTTTAATTATCTCCAGAATTAATTGTTCGAGGAGAAAATGTGTCTGAACATTTTTTGTAGAGAATTAAATTTCCAACGAAAAAGATCGTTTCACATTTTCTCGTAAACCCCCTCATTACCGAAATATTTCAACATTCAACAAAATTCAAAGCTTCAATTGAATAACTGAATCGCAAAACACTTGCATTAATTGTTTAATTATTTCGTCCAGAATTCATTTTAAACAAAGACAATCATCAGACCTTTTATGTGGAGACTTAATTTAAAAAAAATGAAGAAACAGAAAATCTAAATATCTTCCCCTGCGTCCACTCACTATTCAACATCGCCATCAACATTTCAAAAACATTACTTCGCCACAGAATCAAAGATCAATGTTAACTGGCCTCTCAACTTCACATATTAGGGGAGGTTGGGGTAAAACGGACACTTTTGACTTTTTTTTAAATGATAATGACGGGTTGACATGTTGATAAAATTTAATATTTTTTTCTTCATTGCAAAGAACGATCTTTCCCTTTGTGATGAGCCTAAACTGAGCTCAATTAATAAATTTGTTTCTGAGTTATGAGTAATTAAAACAAAAGTCTAAAGTATCCATTTTTCTCCACTCTCCCCTACTCCCGCAATTAAATAATCAAAAATCCACTTGACAATTCATCAACCACTTACATCTCCGCCGATCCCAATTCCGCGGAATGTCTCGTCCCTCACTAAGCCTCCCCCACGTCCCCAGTTGATCTTGATGTGTTTCTGGCAAATCACCAATACTTAAATGTAAATTGTGACACAGGCGTTGAGCCAGAAACGACCCACCACGCGATATTAAATTAACTCAAACCACAGTTATTCACACTTTCCAAAAATAAAAAAAAATCCTCTCCCCCAGGAAGGAAGCTAAACGAGCCAGCATGCCTGAGCCAGTCAACCACCAGGTGAATGCAGCTCGGAGGACCTTTCAGACACTCTACGAGATATCAAAATTATTGAATACCAATTTAGATCCAGCGACATTGAGTATTTGCGTCAGATTGTGTGAGAATGGTGTCAATCCTCAGGCGTTAGCTACTGTTGTCAAAGAGTTGCAGAGAGAAGTTAAAGCACTTGAGAATGCCAATGCCGAGAGTGGAAAAGGTACATTGAAATAAATTCCACAATTTTTTCTTAAGATTCAAACGAATAAAAAATTTATTTCATGTATCAACGGAGAAAACAATAAATTCAAAATTTTCTGCAAGAATGAAGAAGAAGTGAAAAGATGAATTATTACTTAAAACTAATTGATCTGAACTGGAAAATTAATTGAAATAAAAATAACAAAACCCAGAGTTTCAATTAATTTTCTTTATTCGATGTGTCAAAAAAAAAATTCAATATTTTGACTCAAAGGAAATCGACGCAGTAAAAAAGACTTATTATGAAAAATATGGACTTCAATAATTAATTAGTTGATAGAGAAATATTACCGGCACAGCCTTCAAATTCCACGTCATAATCTCTAATTATAAATCAGTATTTGTCGATTTTCTCGTGTTGTCTGCCCTTATGTATTCCTAGAATCATTGAAATAAATTCCGCAATTTTTTTTACATTCAAACGAATAAAAAATTAATTTCATTTATCAACAGAGACAAAAATAAATTCAAAGTTTTCTGCAAGAATGGAGAACAATTAAGTGGAAAGATAAACTATTACTTAAAACTAATTGATCTGAACTGGAAAATTGATTGAAATAAAAATAACAAAACCCAGAGTTTCAATTAATTTTCTTTATTCGATGCGTCCAAAAAAAAAAAACAATACAACATTTTGACTCGAGAGAAATGGACGAAATAAAAGAGATTTGTTATGAAAAATATGGAATTCATTGATTAATTAATTGATAGAGAAATATTGCTGGCACAGCCTTCAAATTCCACGTCATAATTTCGAATCATAACTCAGTATTTTCCGATTTTCTCTTCTTGTCTGCACTTTTGTATTCCTAGAATCATGGGAAGAATACAAAAAATTAGTGTGAACTGTCTTCATAATTTAGTTGATGAACAGAATGAGGGAGTATTCACCTTGTCGACATGTTTCCCTTGGAAGTTATTGCCCTCGAGAGTAACATGCTTCAATTCTGGTTGTTCTATCAAATAATTTTTAGCATCCACCGCCTGTGATCCCTCTCGAAACATGAATATCGAGCGTTTGGACTCGATTGGGTACCTGTCATTGACAGAAAAACGTCGTGAATATCGAATGAGAAGAGATTCATTTAAGGGCCGGGTGGATTATCGTTCGAACGTGATTTTGATTGTTTTTTTTTTCAATTTGATAATCTTAAATAATGGCCAATTGCTATTCAGTTTTACATAGTCCTGGAGTCTCCAAAAATTATGATTGTACGATCAAAAAAACGTTGAAAAAAAAGCCGAACATTTTCAGAGAGCGTTTTTGAATAATATTGGGAACTAAACCCAACTGGGAGGAAATTGCAAATTAATAATTTGATGTATCGAATGGCTGTCAGGTCGTCATTTGTCACAGTAGTCACTGGCTGTTAGATCGTTAGTTACCATGATAAATTATCCATTCACTATTTCCTCTCTATCGGACTTATTTCTTAATCTTTATTAAAAACTTTGAAAATGTTCAGTTTTTTTCTACTTTTTTTGATTGTACAATCATAATTTTTAGGGACTCCTGCGTGATGTAAAATCCAATGGGAATCGTGATATATTTTACATTATGAAGACGGGCCTCAATTTTAAATAATTTATTTGAAGGGAAGAGTTACCTCTCTGTGTTAATGTGATTATTTTGTAAACTCCCCTGCCAAATTTTCATTATAGTCTCCGCTTCAGTCTCGGAAAGTTCGTCTCGAACGTCCACGAACATCATGACGTTCTTTCCTTGTTTCGTGACTCGGAGGAGATTGTCAGGATTCGTTGGATCAATCTGATTTTATCATGAATTTAATGTTTGAAGCTTTATTTTTTTTCATTATCTCTGAATTTAAGCTGAATAGATCATCCTATATCCTTTAGATGGGAAGATATCCATCGAAAATTCATTATAAACTGAATTATGACAGTTATATGAATTGGAAAAAATTAACATCACAAAAGAAAAGATGACTAAAAACTTCAGGAAGACGGTTTTCTGGGTTTTCGTTGAGGATAGGTTTCAATATGAATTTCGAAATTTGTGAATTATTTCCAGATGTATAAAAATGGCGATACAAAGATCTAAAAATATAGGAGAGAACTTAATAAAATACGTTCTTAATGATTATATCCTCCGAATATTGCAGTTAAAAGAAAACGATAAAATAAACAATTTTCAATCGTCAATAACTCAACAATGGCAGAGTAAAATCGCCAATTTTTTCTTCATTTCAAAGGTATTTTTTCAAGTTTCAAAATGAGTCCTGACTCATCCAAATTGTACCATTCGTTCACGAAATAGACGAGATAGTGATGATTTGGAAATATTCCCTAGAAATTATTTTTTTAAATAAAAAAACAGATTTCCTAAACCTGTGAAAAATCAATCTGTGGAGCTGGCCGCAGGTGTTCCGGCAGTTCGTCATCCTCGAGAGGCTCCTCATTCTCCTAATGATCAGAACGACAATTACTCCCCATAAAATCAATGAAACAATAACCCCAATGATGAATAAATCAATTCACCTCCCACTGATCCAACAGCCTCTCCATGTCAGCATCCGTCATGTCCCTAATATCCTTATCCTTCCATGATTTCACCTTTTTCTCCTCCCCATTAACAGATAATAACACACAAATAATTGTAAAGACTTCTAGTCTCATGTCTGCACCTTCACGATAACTTTCTCCCTAATTTTGTTATTATTCTGAAAAAAAAACAATAAACAAATTTTATTGTTGTCGGCGAAATTCGAGGTTATGAGCGAAGTGAAACGAGGGAAAATCAGGATCGGCTCTCTCATTTGTGTTGAATTGTGTTTGGCTTGATATCAGAAAGATGGCGACGTCGAAGTGTTTTTGAATCCCCAACGTTTTTTCGTAATGAAAAAAAACAACACGAAAGACCGGTAACACCTGGTGACAATGAATTCTAAAAGAAATGGGTGAAGTGCGAGTGAAGTGGAATTACTAATTCACAGGTGTTGATACAATCGATGAGGCCAGTGGAAATTGCGCTGCTCTATCTACTAGATGAATCACTGAATCTGGGAACAACGGTAAGTATTCAAATCCGATAACATCAGATATATTTCGCACACGATAAAATCCAAATGAATTCCTGTATACGATTGACCACGAGCCACATTGATATGCATCTCCCCCGAATCTGTCTCATGCATAAAATTCAGTGGTTCAATTATTTATTGTAAAATTGGGTCAGTCTTTAGCGCGTGCGAAGGATTACTATTCTTCGACTATTGAGGAGTTGTTCGGTTCTTCATGGAACATTTCTTCCTTAATTACAAAAACGTTTGTAAGAACATTTAATTGAAGTAAACTAGACCTTTTTAAGTCATCGATATTTGGTGAGAAAATGATCCCATTTGGATAACTCGAATTTCATTTTCTAGTCTGAAAAATATCTTCAAAATGAAATGAATGGAAAATTGCTCTTGTTTTGTATATAGTATAGTTATTTTTGATAAAAAATTGGCAGTATGCTTCTGAATGGTTATTTTGCACATAATTTCCTTCTATTACGTATAATTCATTGTTTATTTCATTTTATTGAATTGAATAAGATTTCCTTTCATTTAATTTTGTCAGATTTTCAACTTAATTGAACGTTATCAGTATCATTATTCTTATTATCCCTTTTCTTCTATACAACCGATTGACTTTTTTACAGTTCTATCTCTCGCCTCAACCCTTCGAAGAATTCAGAACTTTAATTAGAACGATTACAATACTTCGGAAGCAAAAAAATTCAAAAGTTTTACTTAACCAATCTTGAGTTGTCATCATGTCAATATTAATACGTTTTTGTTTCTCTAAAGATTGAGTCAGTCTTTAGAGTATATAAGGGATCACTATTCTTCAACTATTGAAAACTCGTTCAATTCTTCGTGGAACATTTCTTCCTTAATTACAAAAACTTTTCTAAGAACAATTAATTGAATTAAACTAGACCTTTCTAAGTCCCCGATATTTCCTGAGAAAATGATCCCACTTGAACAAATCAAATTTAATTTTCAAGTATGAAAAAATGTCTTCGAAAGGAAAAAAAATCGGGAAGTTTCACTCGGCCAATCTCGACTTTTTATCATATCGCTATAAATAATAATATTGTTGCACCCATAAAAATATTCGAACCCCCTCAATCGAGGGAAACACCTCCCCCCAAAAACTATTTATTAATTCCACAAATAAAAATACATAATCACAACGAGACAAAACAAGGAGCAGGTCCATGGGAACAGGCTTTCATGGGAAAAAAATCCCGGTTATGATATTTTCAGCTCCACATTTCCTTTTTTTTCTGCTGGTCGTCCATTCTTTGTTGGTACCATTCAATCCACCCGTGTAAACCATCTGGGAACACCCCTAAGACAGGAGTAACGGATTTTTCAACCTTCGTGCTATTGATCATGATGGGTTTAGCATATGAAAGGGGGATAGGATTCAGTCCTTTTTGCGTATTATATTATTTCAATGAGGAGTGGAGTTTAATTCGGGAGAGGGAAGTTGCAGGTTTTACATTTTAAACTACATAGAAAACAGAGACATAGATAGACATAGAACTACCAGAAAACAATTACTTTTGCCAAGCATATTTACTAACTACAAAAAAATTTACGCATGTCTTATACAGATATTTATATACATTTACTTGTGGCAAGTAAATATACTTGGCATGAACAATTTTTTTCTCAGTGAAGTGAGAAACTGTTTTCGTCACAAAATAGTCAATGTATTTTATGATACAAGTAAAAAAAGCCGGTACTTTGCGCGCGAAGCGTGCGGAAAAGTGCTCTTTTTCCCCAGTATCATAAAATATCGTACAATACATCTGAAAAAAATTTACTTTCTGACGAGCATGCTTACAGACCGAGCCAAAGGCGAGACCTCACACTCGTCAACAACTACTTTTTTTCACTTGTATCGTAATGAACTATTTGCTAATGAATTAGTAATTTGCTTGCGAATGGAATTTCTATGAGGATGTATTTTTAATTGAATTCAATGATTCATTGAATGCAACATTGCCCCAACGTTACAATTTCTCATCTTTCTCTGAAGTGGTTTTAAAATAAATTTTTCATCACTTGTGCGCAAAGTGAACCACTTTCCACACATTGTGATGAAAAATAGGGTTCGACACTCGTGAGAAAAGTGTTCTTCAAGCCTTGGGAGGGTAGCACTGTTCTTCAGCGCTACATACCTTCCTCGCTTCGCTCGGTTAGATCGCGGTTTTCGGGCCCAACGACATAAAATAGCGTATATCACACGGCGATAAAAGCATTATCTGGCGAATGTGGCTTTATAATCCGAGCCAAAGGCTAGCAGATAATAGTTTTATCGCCTAATGACATAATATACTATTTATGATATTGGTAAAAAAAAAGTGGTTCTTTACGCACGGAGCGTGCGAAAAATTACCTTTTTTCACTCGTATTATAATAGTATATTTCGTTACGAGTGCGGAAAAGAGTTTTTACTCGCCTTCGGCTCGTGCTATAAACCTGCCGCGAGGCAAAAAACACTTTTCCCACGAGTATGGAACGATATTTTTCATCACAATGTGTGGAAAAGGGACGTTTTAGGCACGCTTCGCGTGCGAAAAAGTTACTTTTTCGCACAGCGTGATGAAATGGCTATTTTTGTCACAAGGCTGAAAAATTTTTTTCTGACGATTGTGAGAGTTGCAGACCGAGGCAAAGCCGAGAGATGCAATCCCACGAGTCAGAAAAGTGGCTTTCGGTCGAGTGATGAGCTAGTATATTTCAAGGTGAGTGCCATCTGCCATGAGGTTTTTTACTCGCATGGAGTTGGCATCCGAGCCGAAGGCGAGGACTGGCCAACCACGCGAGTAAAAAAAACCCACGGCGCTAGGCGTGAACGATATTTATCCGTAGTGATTTTCAGTTGTAGAGTTTGGGGAAGAGTTAATACCAAATACCAATCCCCGGACGAGGAAAAGTGAAGATCAGTACGGAAAATAACATTGCCGCAGGAGGTGTGTAGCGCTCACCGAAGGTGAGTGCTATCTTTCATGACAATGTCTGAAAAGTGGCATTTTACCGCGTGCGTAAAATTTCACTTTACACCCCAGTGATAAAAATAGCTCATTCGAACTCCTGAGGGCAAAATCAGTTATCCAGACCCAAAAAATCAGAAATTTCGGATTTAACGACTAAAACACTTCCACTCGGAAGCAAAAACAACAAATCCTCCAAATTTTATTAACTAAATTCGAATTAATGTAGTCATTTGAAAACTTTTACGTCGTCACAATCCATCAACTCCATTATTCTCTCAATTAAAACGTTTGCCCACTGAAAATACTCAAAATCCATAATTCAGTAATTTGTTTCTCTGAATAATTCCTCCCAGAACATTTTCTTTTCTCTATTAATTTGACGAATGATCTTTCAAAATCAATAACGCATGAAATTTCGCGCAATTATTACGCAGTTCCTCGAAATGCGCATAAGCCCGTCCCCCAACTATTAACTTACAACAAAAGCTCCCTAACCGTCTCCTTCGTAGGGCTGATCAATCAATAATCCCGCAGGCCGGGACGAGTGCAATTTGATATAAAAAATCACAAATTGTGCGCTCATCTCCGCCTGCACGACAATCGAAACCTCTGGAACATTCCCCCCAAAAAAAAATCCCCCAACATCTCCAACAAACTGTCGACATTTCTGCACTTCGATAGGCCGGGACAAGTGCAATATTACAAAAATCAAGGAAACATTGTCACATATCTCGACCTACCTCTCATGCAATTAATCATCATTCAAAATTCATACCAAAAAGCTCCTTGATATTGATCTTAGTCAATAATAATTCAAATCAAGAGCCCATGATTCACCGATTCGTGCACAACAATTGGCCAATCATCTCCGAATCGAACACCATGAAAAAAAATAAATAAATAAAAAGCCGAAGCACTCAAAAAGCTATTTATGCCAAACAAACCGTCGACTTGTCCCCCCCCCCTCAAAATTCGTTTGCCATAAATAAATTTTCCCAGTGACAAAAATAAAAGTAAATAAACCTCAACTCCGTATTCACTTCACTGCGTTCACTCACAAAATTTTATCCTCGAAAGAGACAAAAAAAAAACCCCCTGATCACCGAGTTGTCACGTCGTCTCCTCGACGTTAAACTCTGATGAATTCCGGAGGAAGACTGCTGGCCTGAGCCAGGTGTCCCTGCCTCTTTATTTCTTTTGGGCCCCCACACCGGTGCCCCATGGGCAACACTTGGGGCCGATCCCCGGGGTCCGGGGTGCAACGCAAAACCCCACCCTAGAACCTATACAGCATGTGCCCATCACAATGGTAGTTGTAAAATTTTTAGTTGTGTTGTAGTAAAAGAGGCGAAAACCGTACCGGCAGTGGTTGGTTGACGATGTTGGGGTGTTGCTGTGGAGGGGGGGGCTGGGGGGTCAGAGAGGGGCAAAGAGGGAACAGACGTTATTCTTATTCCAGACTCCAATGGGGCCAGGATAGTTTCCCCTATTCTGCCCCCACCATCGACCTGGAGAGTTTAATCCAGACCTTGCACGAGGGAACTTTTTCCCCATAGACCTACTTATAATACTCAATAATATATTTTTTTTCTCCACCGGTGAATTTCTTTCACTACGATTCGAGTTTCTTTTCTTCGTGAAGAAGAGACAACAGCTCCGACGTTACGTCCCGCCAAAAAATTGTATCAGCTGTCGCTGGGATTTCTTCATCCTTGTCGATGAGTTAGCTTCAACGAGGATAGATGT